GTCCTGCACAAGTTTGATAATCAGGTCTTGCTTGGGTTTTTTCTTAAAAAAAAAAAAAAAAGCTAAAAACAAATTAAGTGATAGGACCATGTTTAAATAATGAGTTTGATGTTTGTCATTTTAAATGACATAAGTTATATTATTTTAGGAGAGATATAGAGATAAGAAATGAAAATCATGGGAGAGAAAGTGAGTGATTTTTTTAATTTAAATTTTAAATAAAAAATAATTTCTTGTGTGAATCTCTCTATTAAAATGATGTAACATCTAGAGCGCTGACGAGGGCAGGGAGTAATCGCCGGTGCAAAGGGGCACGGACAAGGAGCGGCTCCTGACAGGCTTCCAGCGTGGGGTTACATGCATGAATGAATCGAATCGACACCCGAAAGAGAAGAATTCCAAAGACTGTGCAGGTATGAGACTGCACAGTTTGAGAATAGCTTATAAGAATCAATTGGTACTACCTATACTAACAAGATGCATCTGCTTTTCGGTAGCCCGGATCGGAAGAACTCCACAGTTAGGTGTGCTTGACTAGGAGCAATTATGGGATGAGTGACCTCCTAGGAAGTTTTCCCGGGAAGTGTGCGAGTGAGGAAAAAGCACACTGAAAAGTCTCGTGTTAGTATGTGGGGATAGTCATTGATTCTTGAAGCGACCGGGCGTTACAAATGACATAACTTTATGTCATTTAAAATGACAAACACTTTCCACTTAAATAATATGGTGTTGAATTTAACTTGCTTTCTACTATGATAGGCACATTTTATGTATCTAATTGTATTTAAAAAGTTATAATTTATTCTAAATTATTTGTCACTTTAAAAAAAAATATATTATTTTCTTAGCTCTACTTTATTTTTTTATTTCTACTTATTGGAATAAGAATGATTTAATAGAGTGAAGGTGTAATATAATCAAATAAACTTATATTTTCATTAAATCGTAAAGAATTTAATGAATTATTTAATTTTTGTACAAATCTTTAAACAATGATTATTTTAAAACTAAAAGAATTTGTGCTTTTAAATTTTGTATTATGTACTTTTAAATTTTGAAACAAAACTTTATCGTATTGTGTACTTTTAAATTTTGTATTTTATGTATTTATATAGAAATTTTGACACAACCTATGCTTATCATATCAGGATAAATAAAATTAAAATATATTAAGTATAAATTTTATGAATTTTAATTATCATTTCATTTATGTTTTTATTTTATTTTATTTTAAAAACAAGATATATTTTAAAGTTTTTTTAATAATTGGCATGATTAGATTTAATTTGATTTTAAATATATTACTTTTAAATAATATATTAAATTAAATTAGTAGAGTCATTAATTTGTTGATTGATCCATCACTCCAAGGAGATATAATAATACTAATTCATATCTTTGAGATATATAAAATTGGCAAAAAAATTTAATTATTGCATTTTAATTAAATATTACGCATTTATGGCAGTTTTGGAAATAATCACGGATCTATTTTACAATGTGACGCCTCATTTAGGCATCTCTCACCTAAGGTTGACACGTGTCATTTTTTATAAAAAAATAATAATAATTTAATCATAAAACTTATGAAGGCCATAACTTTTGACTCGGGTATCCAATTCAGGTAATTGTTTTTTGATTCCACATAACTTTTCGAGATCTACGCAATGACATCTCATTTGATATATTTTATTTCTCACAAACATAATTTAAATTTAAATTAGGTAATCCTTATTCCTTAGAGATTTAGAATATTTATTGAATTATTTCATTTATTAATACAGATTTTTCAAATTGATTTTTGAGTTTAAATCACAAATCAAATCTTTATTTTATTTTCCTTATTAATAATAATTGTTACTTTTAATTTAAATAACAAACCAAATTTTTTTATAATAAAAATAAAAATAAAATTTAAATATAATCACACATCAAATCTTGATTAATTTTTTATATTAAATCACACACGCAGATTGGTTCACAATCCAAAACTGTAAAAAATTAAATCACATATCACAAATTTTATTTATTTTCTTCTATCAAATCACAATCCAAACCTCCAAAAAAAAAATCACAATCCAAATTGCATAATTAATTAATTAAAATGCAATAATTAAATTTTTTTCCCATATAAAATTCTAAATCTAGCCTTTTAATTGGTTCCCACCGCCTCAGTTTCCATCGTTCTAACGCAACAACGTGAGAGAGACAGAGAAAGAAGAAACCCTATTTGTTGTTTTTCTTGTTTACCTTGTTGTTCTGTCCGATCAAACACTTCACTCTTTTTTTTTTCTTTCTCTTGTCGATCTACTCGACTTGTTTTCCAGCGAATTTTCCTAGGAAAATCTGGAGAACCGATAAAAGATGAAGAGAGTAAGGGATGAGGCTCCTCCAAAGAAAACGGTTGAATTTGAAGAAGCTATTAGTTTTGTGAACAAGATAAAGAAACGATTCCAAAGTGATGAGCATGTTTACAAATCGTTCTTGAACATTTCCAATATGTACCGCAAAGAGCATAAGGACATAGGTGAAATTTATAGTGAGGTTGCTACCCTGTTTAAGGATCATCGAGATTTGCTTGAGGAGTTCACTAGATTCTTACCAGATAGTTTCGCAGCACCTTCTACACAGCATGCTCCGGATGCTCGAAATTCATTGCAGCGCTTTAGTGAGCGGAGTTCTATGGCACCCATGATGCGGGAAATGCAAGTATATCGACGAAAGAGGCTTCCTTCTCATGATCGTGAGCGTGATCTGAGTGTTGAACACCCTGAGATGGATGATGACAACACAATGATGAACATGCACAAGAAGCGGAGGAAACGTGAGAGTAAGGATATAAGGATTAATCGTGATCAGGATGAGAGAGAACCTGATCATATAAATGCTCAACAATTTCTTGAGGTATCCATTTCTCCCCTTTTTAACGGTTTTATTGGATGATTCTTTCTCTCTACATTTTCATTTTCCTAGCTCATGGGGTTGGGTTTGCTAGAACTAATCTGACTTATAACTTATTACCCCAAAGTTATTGCTGATTATTTAGGACGAAAAGGTTGTTTTCTGTTAGTTGAGTGTAATGCAGTTTTCTCAATCAACCTAGTTAGTTTGAGTATAAGAAGGAATTGGAGTGAATGTAAACTTATTTACATAACAGAATATAATTTTGTGACTGAGTAGGTTCCTTTTTTATTTTTTATTTTTATTTTTTAAGTTTGTTCTGTTTTTTTTTCTTTGTACGTCTCGTCTGTTCTAGTATGTTTTTATGTTTGTTGAGTAAATGTAAGTATGAGAGAGAGAGGGAGAGAGAGAGGAGGAGGAGGAGAAAGAGAGACGAGATCAGAGAAAGTTTCTGAGTGAGAACTGTGTTATTGACTTAAGATTAAACTGATTACAGTGTCCCCCCAGCTCAGCAAATCTAACTTCTAACAGAACCTGAGCTGGCACGAAACAAACTCTTAACAGTTCAGAAACTATATCACAAAACACAGAGTTGTCTTTTGCAGTATATATAGAAAGGATACTGATGCAGAGTAAATCATATGCGTTTACTCTATTATAGGCATTACATTTAAGAGAATAAACTTTAATTTAATATATAAGAATGTATTCTACTTTTTTGCCCCTTTCTTTCATTCCCTATTTAGTACAGACGGCTTGTAATTCTTGATTTGTTTTTAAGATGGAAATTGTTATAGGATTCTTTGATGGACAACGATTAAAGTGCCACATTTTTTGTAAAAAATTATCTGAATGTCACATTTTGTAAATTTTTGTTCATAATGTCACGTTACCTAACTCGCTTACAACACCTGGTGAGTTAGGCGTTGTCACATTTAGATGGGCGAACATTATTTATAGAATAAAAAATAATAATATTGTAAAGACTCATGTGAGATTTTTGTCAATATAAAATAATAACAGCAGGGATTTGAACTTGCAGCGCTTTCATGAGAAAAAGAAATCTGTCAAGAAAGCTGAAGGTTTTGGGTTGGCTTCAGACTTTTCTTCTAAGGAAGACAAGGATACCTTAAAGAACATGTATAGTCAAGCATTCAGTTTCTTTGAGAAAGTTAAGGAGAAGTTGAACAGTGCTGATGACTACCAAGCTTTCTTGAAGTGCCTTCATAATTTTTTCGTCAGTGAAATAATAAAAAGGAATGAATTGCAAAATTTGGTAACCGATTTACTTGGAAAGCATCTTGATCTTATGGTGGAATTCAATGATTTCCTGGAGTGTTTGGAAAATATTGATGGGTTCCTTGCTGGTGTCATGAGTAAAAAGTCACTAAGATCATCAAAGTTGGAGCGTGAGATGGATGGAGCTAAAGAGAAGGAAAGATACAGGGAGAAGGAGTACATGGGAAAATCCATTCAAGAACTTGACCTCAGTGACTGTAAACGTTGCACTCCCAGCTACCGGCTTCTACCTGCTGATTATCCAATTCCTACAGCTAGTCATAGATCTGAGCTTGGTGCTCAAGTATTGAATGATCACTGGGTATCTGTGAGTTCAGGAAGTGAGGATTACTCTTCCGAACATATGTGCAGGAATCAGTACGAAGAGAGCTTGTTCAGATGTGAAGATGACAGATTTGAGCTGGACATGTTATTAGAGTCTGTGAGTTCTGCAGCTAAACGTGCAGAGGAATTATATAATAACATGAATGAAAATAAGATCAATATGGAGACTCTGAACCGTATTGAAGATTACTTTACTGTTCAAAATTTAAGGTGCATTGAACGTCTATATGGTGACCATGGTCTTGACGTTATAGACATATTGCGTAAAAACCCAACTCGTGCGCTCCCTGTAATATTGACTCGACTGAAGCAGAAACAGGAGGAATGGAGTCGGTGTCGTTCAGATTTCAATAAAGTTTGGGCTGAAATTTATTCTAAAAATCACTTAAAGTGAAGCAGCAGAAAGAGGATGATATTCTTCAGTCTACTATTGCAGCTGGAAACAAATTAGTTCGGTATTCATGTGATATGAGAGTATGAATGAGGCTGATGGTAGAGTAACTGAGGTAAAGAATGTTCACCGGACTAGTGTAGCAGCCAGTGATAAAGAAAATGGATTATTTTTTGGAAGCTTCACAAGCTTCCACAAGCAGCCAGTGATTTTGGTTTTTCTGTTTATGTTTACTCACTTCAATTCTTTTTCATTACTGGTTTAATGAATTTTATTCAAGGTTAAAAAAATAATAATTAAAATTGGTTCTTTTTCACTTCAATTCTTTTTCACTTCGGTATACGGGGTTCTATTATTTTTGTCACTTCAACCTTTGAACCGGAAAGAACAAACTCAAAAATTGAGTTTTTTGATCTATCTACAAATGTTATTATTTGTTTGTTTTATAAATCAATATGTAAAAAGTTCGAGTAATAAGGGACTCGATTATATTTAAGTGAAGTCTTAATTGTGAAAACGAAAAAACAGACATTAAGAGAATATTGTTCCTTTGAGTAAGTTCACTCGACTCAACTCGAAATAATTGAAATTCAATGTATTTTTTAAATACTAAGAGTTTCTGGAAGAAAAAAAGTTGCGGGTTTTTTTCTACCAATTGGGGCCCTCCCTTCACCACCCCTTTGTTTTATAAAGAACAATGGACTATCAAGCCTCTCAGTTGGGGCGGTTATATTTATTATATTTTAGACGTACCACCCTTACTATCTAATTATTTATCAAAGTCGAAATCAGCAATAGTTTTTTTTTTCTTTCTATTTTTTTATTATTGATTTCAAATTGATATAACAATAACCAATCAAATAATAAGAGTGATAAGTCTAAAATAATAATAAATATAACTTTCTCCGCTTCTCAATTCGCTATAACCTTTTTTTCTCCATCCTAACCAAGTTAGTACTCTCAATTTGCCGTTGATTTTAGAGTACATAAAACATCTGGTGTGATTATGCACGTCAAAATTTTGTTCCGGCACACGCTATGCCATTTGTTTGATATGCCCTCGGTTACAATACTATTCTTAAGAAGTAAATTATTTTGAGATGATCAACATTATATTCATTTCGCTAATTACCATTTTCAAATAAAATACTTACATATTCATCATAGTTTAATGAGGCTACTATCCTCCAAAGGTCGCCCAAAACTTTTTACCTCAATAATAATAATAATTTTACAGTTGAATATAATATTTTCAATTATATGTTTTGGATTGAGAGTATGAATCGATGATAGAAATATGAATTATTTAAAATAAATAAAAATATATCGCTAAGCATATTTTTGAAAAAATGATAATTAATTAAAAATATCATGATTCATGAAGAAGTAATTATAAGGTCTAAACAGTAACTTCAGTCATCATAACCACAACTAACAAATATATACAGATTATAATTTATACATAATCGATACATTATTTTGCCGTGTGAAATTTTCCAAGCTCAATACTGGTGAGGATCGGGCAAGGAAAGTATGGATCTGTTTCGTTGTGTAGGTCTCTTGTTGGCGGCGCGGAGTATGCGTGTAAGACTCTGAAGAAGGGGGATGAGACTGTTTACAGGGAGGTGGAGATAATGCAGCACTTGTCTGGGCATCCTGGGGTTGTGACTCTGCTGGCAGTGTATGAGGAAGCTGATTGCTCTCATCTGGTGATGGAATTGTGCTCTGGGGGAAAACTTGTCGACCAGATGTTTAGGGAGGGCCCTTGTTCTGAACAGCGGGCTGCTAATATACTTAAGGAAGTGATGTTGGTCATCAAGTATTGTCATGATATGGGAGTTGTGCACAGAGATATCAAGCCTGAGAATATTCTGCTTACTGCTTCGGGGGAAATAAAGCTTGCTGATTTTGGCCTGGCCATGAGAATTTCTAAGGGTAATATGTTAAACCTGTTTGGATGATCTTCTTTTTTTGTTATCCTATGGTATATATATGTGCTAACTTCTATGAATAGAATCCTTACACAACCTGCCTTGTGTAAAATTCCATCCTAGTCATTCTGTTAATAAAAAATGTCTAGGCAAGTTTGAAGAAGTTCATCATGATGAGCTTTCAACTGAATTGTACTTTACTAATGTTACCCTGTACATAGGAGTAAAAATTGGAGAGTTCAGATGGTCATCTCCCTTAAGTTTACTATGTTCAGTATTCAATTAAATTTGCTAGCGGTCTAAGAATAAGAGGTCCTAGAGAAAATGCTTATAATAGTTCGAAGCTAACCATTCATACTCTAAGGTCACTTTGTTTAATTTTTAAGCATTTAAAAATATCAGTAATTCAATTGACATATATATAAATACACACACATAAGTAAAAGATACATACATGCATACATGAGTAATTTATGCATAGCCTCATTGTCTAGAAATTTGCATTGCAGGTCAGAACTTGACGGGTTTGGTTGGGAGCCCTGCATATGTTGCACCAGAAGTGTTGTTGGGTAGATACTCAGAAAAGGCGGATATATGGAGTGCTGGAGTGCTCCTGCATGCTCTGTTGATTGGTGTTCTTCCATTTAAAGGGGATTCACAAGAAGCAGTTTTTGAGGCTATTAAGAATTCCAAGCTAGAGTTCCAAACCGGGATGTGGGAATCAATATCTAAACCTGCACGAGATCTTGTTGGGAGAATGCTGACAAGGGATATTTCAGCAAGGATAACAGCTGATGAAGTACTTAGTAAGTTTATGGTAGATTATTAATGTTTTGTAGCGTGCTTTATCTCTCTTCCTCAATGATGAATACACCAAAGACTAGTTGTATTTGGTCTGATTTTTTGTTTTTTAATCTTGAAATAATTAAAATTAGAAATTTCCAAGTTTTGTTGAAAAGTATCTTTGCCTTTCACATGAATTTGTTAGTTTTTATTATGTGTTCTTCTATGTAGTTGAGGCTCTCTTTTTCTCCCTAATGTTTTTAAACAGGAAATAAAATGACAGTACTTTTAAGTTTTAAGAACTGTTCGATTGTTTGCATGTTAAATTAATATTATGTGGTTCAATTTCAGGACATCCATGGATATCTTTCTACACAGAACGTACATTGAAGATCCTGCCGGATTACATTTTTTTCCTCTAAATAATGATTACTGAGAAAACTCGGCTAGTTGTACAGAACCTGTGAATATGATATTAGTGTGTCACTGCATGTTTTTGCTCTTGCTGGAGCATGATAAATAGAATGCTATGATTTCACTTCAGTTTTCAAGACATACTTTTTGTACAGATGGTAGCGAGGAGTTTGACCTCGAGTCAATTATATATAGCAATGGCGTTTACTTTGAAAATGGAGTTCACAGTCTTGTCATTTTCACTGGAAAGGAAAAAACAGCTACTTGTGTTTAGAAGAGGCGAATCTTAACTACCGGGGGATAGATTTTGAAAGGCTATAAAAGTTGAGATTCTTTATCTGTTAAGGTGAGTTTAAGGGGTAATCTAGATAATAGGTAGGAACATATTTAGGAAGAAGGTATAGTTGAAAAAGGAAACATTAGATAATTCAATCCAAACCGAAAAAATTTGGATTGGATCGGATTTGAAAACAAATCAAAACCGAAGGGATGATTATATGATCAAAACGAAGGGATTGGATCGGATGAATTTTGCTTCCAAAATCGACATATGCTTTGGAATATTTTTTTAACGAAGAGGGTAATTTATTATGTAGATCTCTCATGAGTCATGATGATTAGGATTGGCTCATAAAATGCTAGATTGAAATTAATGTTAAACAAATTTGTTTATTATTAGTTAAAAGAATAGAAAAATATGTAATCATAATAAATTAATTCTAGATTGTAGTAAAAATCATCAAAACATAACCAATCACCAAACTGAATTCATAATTTTTATAAATATAATCAAAACAATTAGTAATTCATGAAAAGCTATAATTTAACCTTATCTTT